TCATCGTTAAAAGTTGTTCATACAAAAAACATTCGGTACAAATTCACCAGACCAATTGTAGTAAGGAAAGAGTTAAATTCAGATGCAAATAATCTTTTCAGATACGATCATCCTTTGTTTGAAGACTGCTGATGATGAATATATATTATATATAAACCAAGAGTGGTTGTAGGTTTCACTAACCGACGTTGAAGTATAGAACATGCTTTGTCGTCTTTACGACGTGAAGAGATACATGGTGTGCAGAGAGTATACTATTTCTTGTGAAACAACAAGATGACAAATAACAAAATAAATGATTTAGGACTATTGTCAGAAACTGGCGGATATGCCAGAAAAATATGTTCACAACCTTACCTAACAAATAAAAATAGAGTATTATTAAAAGCCATTTGGTATAAAACAACAATTTCCCACAACTTCAGTATTAATTAAGCCATGTGTGTCATTTACATCTTATAAAAAATTTAAAACTACGTCGTAGCAGCATGTATTAAGTGTCACATAACATCTTTACTGACGATTTTATAAATTCACAAAACTTGAATTACGTAAACTATTACTGAGTGTTAGCTTTTTAACTATTTTGATATATCCCGTGTTCTTAAAAGTTATCAATACTATTTACCTTTATTTAAAATAACAATACTGAATAGTGTAATAATAGTATAGTATAATACAATAAATAGAATAGTATAATACATATAAGGAATAGTGGGGGTAGTTTTATAAAAGATTTGGCAAGGAGTGGCTCAGGCCCTCAGTCGCTAACAAGCTCAGTATTTTTCTAGTCGTCACGACGGAACGTTTGATATCTTTACGTAGTTGCCTTGGAGTTCAGTTTGTTTGATATAAAGTAATAATAAAAATATTGTTAATATAGCTGTCCGTCTATATCTTAAAAAAATAATTTGTGTCGAAATATCTAACATGAGAGAAATTAAAACCACTAATTACGTTGTAATGGATGCAATAATCCAATTATAACTCAAAGTGTACTGTGTATCTACAGTTATCGACGACATACGAGTACTTTGGCAAAGTTAAAGTAAGTTTGGTTCACCGCCTTTGTTGTCGGTTAGTCGCTAATGTGATTTACAAATGACCGCTTCGATGCTCCCGACTTCACGTTGAGTTCAGACCTACCTGACTGTATAAAGGGAAATATACCCAACAAATTTTATATTGAAAATTGTTTCTAGTCAGATGATAAGAGCGTAGCAGATTATTTTATAGACAAAAGGATAGTTCCTCTTCTCAATCCGCCTTCTAAGACGCGGAGATTAAATTACCTGATTATATTTTCTCTCATAATAGCCTATAAATATCATGCAACCAGAGAGTTCTTACTAGTTATATCCTCTTAGTATGAAACGGCCATAATTAAAAGTTCTATAAAAACATTACTTGAATTCATATTGGAAAAAAAGATCTACGAAAACATACAGCTTTACCTAGATAATAAATGAGGGTTAAAAACCTAAAGTTAATGTAACTGTATGAATGAACCACAGTTTCATCTGATATTAATGTTACATTAATATCAGAGGATCTCGTCGGCGAATGTATGGAAATCGTTATTGCAATAGAAGATGTCAGCCACGAAACAGTACGTTAATATTGTCATGTTCAGAATTGAATTCCGCACTGATATGGATTATAGAAGCATTTGAATTAATCTAGTTAGTTTCCTCGAACACTACAATATAGATATTGGTAGAATGCATTTCGCATAGCTTTGCTCCTGAATTCCCGAGTAGCGACAACAGTTTCCAATAATTTGAACAATGCAACTGCCAGCTCTGATATGACGAAGTGGCAATACATGCAATTGAAAGGTATCTTAATTAATTTGACAATACCTATGTATGACAATAGTTATTTTACGACTAAAACAGCAACATAACAAGTCAGAGAGTTATCTGACCGTCAAACTTTCTGTACGACTTGATATTTGAAGTTTTTTAATAGATGGCTGTAATTTTTCGTCTCTCAAAATCAAGTTTGAATAATTCAATCAAAACAAGCAAACATTGTTTATAACCGATGTTTTGAAAGAGAATTGAACGCAGCAACAAGCAGTAATGAAAATATGTGTGTTTTAATCAAAAGCGACCGACATGTTAGGTTAGTATTCGGGAGCTTGTTTACTTTCACGTTAACATGGTGGGTAGACTAACAGTGATTGGTTTCAAATTAATACTGAATGAATTTCACCGAATCTCGATCCGATAATGGGAGTCTGGATGTCAATTATGGTGGGCCTTGTGTATATCCAAGCCATAATTGGCATCGAATTGCCTATTGAAGATGTCATATGTCATTACCAAGGCTCAGTACATAATATGTTTCTATGTAAATTACCTTCATTGCTTAAACCCGTGTCATTACCGTTCGTTAACCTTATATTTTAGAAACAAAATTAAGTAATTTTTCGATCAACCGTGTACCGTGTTTTACTATTATAAGTTAGCGACATTTCAGTTTACCATTTGTACATTGGAGGTTACATTACACTTCAGAGGTTCGTCTTTTTTACAGATTCTAAAATAACATTTTATTAAGTTTCTACGCAAGAATGTTATTTCAAGTTTAATCTATTTTTAATGTCTCTCCTACAGTATTTATGTCATTTAATAATTACGACTTCTTTAGTTATAAAATTAGTCTGTAAGCTACCTTTAATTTGTTAACCTAGTCTGTTCCTTTATTATAAAAAAAATAAAAACAATCCGGTATTGTTCCGATTGGCGCCATTTCTGCCACGCCCTACCGGATGGCGCTATGGGAATACCCTGTTTGTGTTAATACACAATGTTGTCTTGTCTTGTCCTACTGGTCTGCAACCCAACGGTTTTAGTTAAGAAGTTGTCATTACAGCTTCTTATTCCTCTTCTGATTTATGTCTGAATTTACTCCAATTAGTTTAATTTCATTTTATATCCAAAAATGATAGTCAATATACAACCATAACATCCTTCTAAATACGCAAGTTCTAAATATAAATTAGTTTTAAAAGCGATCTCGAATTTCAGATCAATGTGTGTATTTCACTTGCTTTTAATGTTTAACAAATCAATTTAACAATAAAGGTTAAAAACGCTTTAAATAACGAAGCAAGCAGAGAGTCCTTGTGGGTCTAATAACATGCTTTTAACGAGTCCAAATTGCTTTACTAAAGAGCTCAATGTGAAGTCATTAGTGGAATAGATAAAGGTCATTAACAAATTATCCTATCATTGTTATTAACTCTTCAAAATAAGAACAAATATTAATAAATACGTACAAAAAACGTGACATCGTATCTGTTATCTATTACATTTTATAAAATTGGAGTATCTGTATGTAATATAAAAAGCGTGAAAATGATGTAATTGCGTTGCTGATACCGAAAAAAGGATTTAAGTTTGCCGACGACCGCTAGTACTAAATATAACACAAATTAAATATATTTCTTGTATCGAATTTAATCCTATGAAGAAAGATCAAATACATTTCATATTTAGTAATTGCTCTTTAACGCAAAAGTACTTTCAATAACTTTCAATTGAGAATTACGCAAAATACCATTTCTTTTCAGTGCAATGGGGTTATTAATTCTTGAAAGTTTCTTCAATAAGGTAAAAAAGTCTTATTGCTGATCAATATAAAATAAAATGCAAGCAATTTATGAACTAAACTGTTCAACGTAATTATGACGTCATTTATATTCCAACATTTATACTCGTATAAAAGATTGTCATCCCTCCTTAGAGTCTTATCTTCTAAAATAAATAGAGATATAACTTATATGATTACGATGAACGGTGATTTATCAGTGGAATTGGTACTGGTATTGGAACAGATTACTTAAGTATATTACCTAGAATTTGAATTTAATACAATGTGCCTGACGTGCCAACTCAAACGCAAGTACTATAAATCACTATTTCAAATGTTCACACATTTACGAACAGCGAATATAAAATTGAATCTCGGAAATGAAATCAAGTGTAAGTATTCCTCGAACCGTGTCATTCATGCATTCCATATTTTATTGAAAGAGTTTGTAAAACTTGTAGCCTGTTTCCAGACACATCACGCTTCAAACACTAGTCATGCTTCGCGGTGCACAAGGGCTCCATCTACGAGTATGATGCGACTACACTCTATACAAACGTGAACATTATCGCCGGGATTATTGCGTTTCATTTTTATTCATAACAAGAAATAAAACTAACAGAGCTTTTGAACATTCAAACACCGCTGTGTAAAATAATTCGTGACTTAATTCACACACAACTAGGAATTAAACATAAATCTAAGTAAGTAATTAAGTTGCATACTCTACTATCCTTTTAAAAGGTGCGTTACGAATTACGATATCAAAGTTAAATCAAAATTCTCTCACACGGTGACAATGTTAAATAAATTGTATCCTCGATTTGAAACAAAAATTTTCTTAGTACCATTATGGCACACCACATACACTTTTTTATTTTATTTATAAACTGAACAAAACTAACGCGCGTACACCCCTTTCGTGCGACTTGGAAAGGTCAGATCGCGTGTTTAAAGAAACAATATGCTTACTATTGGGTAACAGCGTTAATAAATTAACGATTTTTCAAATTATTTGAGAGTGTGGTCTTCTATTATTTAAAATATTTTTCGCTATTTTTATAAGGTAAAATTACGTAGTCTAAATACGCATGTATTTAGTAATGTTATCTTTTTTTCAGTTACGATATTACCTAAAAACATCGGAGAACATTTACATCTGTCAATGCCAGTAAAATACGAGTATCTTACCCTATTACTTATATTGTACTTAGTGCGAATTCCAAACTTTCTTCTATAGTAATCTACATTATGCTTTATTGTTGTGTTGTTGCTCACGATTTCGAGTGGATAAAAACTGACTATTTTGTGTTTACATGGCAACAGACATTAATACAGACTTTCGCATTTGTAATACAGAAAGTTTGGAACTCAGCGTTTATAAAAATGAGGATACTTACGGTCACCGCTGCTCATAAAAATGATGAAGAAGATCACGCTTAACATAACGAAAAAGGTCGTGAAGCGCTTTCGAGGACTCGAAGTGAGACTCCCGAAAGCGCGCGAAAATGTTGGTCCATGAGTCATGGTGAAACTGTAACAAAATTAAATCTATATTACATTACTAACAATAAAAATAATAGCAATATTATTCAGCTATTAATTCTGCTTTGCAAGCGCATGTTTTTTTATTATTTTCCTCCTTAACGTATATACGTATTCTCTCTTTTATTAAAAAGAAAGGCTCAATTGAATTACAATAAGGTAAACCTATACCCGTCTAGAAAAGACGTGTCGATCGGTCAAAGCCTTATCACTTGATTGACAGTCAAGGTAGTTCATCACTTCTTAAAATATATTATGCCTTTAGCCGCTTATAACATTTTTTGACAATTTATGAATAAGATTAATACTTTATTCAGATTTAATTTAGAGCGTAAATTTTACATTACTCTACTTGGAACTAAACGTTATTACGGAGATTTAAATTCATGTTAATTAAATGGAGTTATAACATTCCACAAAATGCTCAAATCCAACTCGGAATGGATTAGGGAGTTAAATGTTGGAAAAACGTTAGAGACCACAGAAACTAGTTAGTTAAATTTGCTCCTGCACACGAATTATTACAAGCTACAGGTCATATGTACGTATATCTTTGATGCCACATTACATTCAGATATGTGTACTAGCGATCCGCTCCTGCTTCGTTTGGACAAAGAATATACGTCTCATATACAAAACTATTCGTATCTATAACCATCCTGTTAATATTAAATACAGCTTACATTACTCATTAAAAATGTAGCTTTCTGTTGGCAAAAATTTTGGATTTTCGTACAGTAGCTTTGGAGCCTATTTTACAAATAAAGAAACAATCAAATATTTAATCTTTACAATATTATGTTTAATATTACATTTAATAATGATATAAATTATTGCATAACTTATTTATGTAGGTTCAAAAGCAAAAACTCTCTCTCGGTACAAAAATTCTCGTAAATATTACCTTAAACAAGGAAGTAAAAAATTTATTGATATAACAGATCAATTAAATTGAGAAGAATCAGTCAATATTTTTATGCAATTCCACGAAATTGAATTTGAGCATTTACCGCAGATGTATTAGTTCATACATTCATCGTAGTTATATTAAAATGGAAAAACCTGAAAATTGTTATTATTCTAAAGCCAATATATTTGTATATCGCTATATCTAGAAATTATCATTCCATTGTAGAAAACGACAAAAGTGCTGTTACATCGTAACCGTTAAAAATATAAAGAAATGATTTATCAAGTGTAAGACTATCCTAATTTATTAACTTTTTACTTATAGTTTTATAAACCTTCGTATATGGTTTTAATTTTTTTAAATAGATTATTCGTGTATAAAAAATATTCCTCTACATTTTTTATTTAGACGAATTGTTACTCTTTGATTCGGGCAGCGCGCGTGCTAAAATAACGTTTTGTGGTTTGGACTGGCCCTTCGTTGTCAGCGTCACACATTTATACGCGACATGGACACGAGCAAAATGCATCAAATAATATGAAAATGTTTGTTAAATGATCTTTATAATTCTAAACAATGTATAATACTTTTTTTAACGCAATACTTTGTAGTACTATATACATTGGAATTCGCGTATTCGTAGTAAAGAAAAACAAAATGTTAAAATAAAAATCGATATAGTATAATTTTTGAATAAACTTTTGAAATTACTTCAAGTTGGTATTTCTACATTGTATAACCTCGAAACCTAATTAATAGTTAGTGAGAGTTCGTGAAGCATCCTAATAAATCCTTCATATTGACACTCAACATTTTTACTTGGTATATCCTTAATCATTCTAATGTAATAAATGCGAAAGTTTTGATGGATGGATGGATGTTTGTTAGAGTTTGTAGCCTAAACTGCTGAACGTATTTCGATTAAATTTGGCTACTCACTTGTTTTTTTAATTTCACGCGGACGGAGTCGTGGGCGAAAGCTAGTACTATAATAAACTCCGTAAATCATATAATATGTACATTATATAATACCATAGGATGTACATAAAGCAATGATGACATAATGAGTGGATAATTTATGTATAACAAATGGAGGCATAATCTGATGAACACATCAATAGACAGTGAACAGCTAATTATGGTTTATAATGACCTTTCAATAAACATTTAACATGCTTACTACTTTCTCATCATAAATAAATAACTGCTTGACCTGCATTTACATGCATTACTTAAATTACTTATTTAGCGATTCCGGTAATATATTCTACAAAACAGATTACACTACATCAGATTGTTTCAAAGTATACGTGTAATATAAATAAGTGATAAATTTATTGGTGCGTTCTGAAGGGAATACTAAAAATACATTTTTTTCATCTATAGTTAATTGTGTTCGCAATACGGCGAGGACACACAAGAAATCAGCGACAAAGTGGTGACACTCAAGCTTTAGGTGATCTATAGATAGAAATATACAATTTAATATAAAAATTTGTACTTGTGAAGTAAATATCTACACAATATTATGAATAAAACTAATCTTGGTCTAGTTTATTTGCCGCCAATAAAATAATTTTCTGAATAAATTTGAATGAAACAGCGTTACCTGGTTCATTTGCATCAAAAGGAATTTTATTTCTACTTTGCAACCGTGACTATTTATTAATAGAAATGGAAATATCTTTCATTGATTCTGTTTACGGAGAGATTGGATAACAGCGTTTTAATTGATTAAGTACTTACAAACGAAAAGTTAAACTTTTTTAAGGTAAATTCAATGTAACCTAAATATAACCAACTAAACATACATTTATAATTATCTTCTATTGTAGCGAGCTATATTTATTTGCAGGTTTTTTGCTATTCAACAACATTAACAATCTACTACGACATGGTGCGTTTAAATCAACAAATTTCTACAACAAAACACAATTTAACACTCGAAGCAAAAGTAGCTTTTTAATGCAAATAATTGAAACTGTTGGATAACACCAAGTGCCTTTCCATAGCTTTATTGCGAATTTTTGATATAGTTTTTGGAATCACCAATTTTACATCGGCTCAGTACACTAACACACTATTTCCAATAAAAAAAATGTTACAGCAAACTAACAAATACCATGCTTTAGACATGTATTAGACCTTACCTAAGGTAGATCTCTTCTATATTTCGACTGGGTTTTAATGAGTATATTTGACAGAGAAGAAAGAAAAGCGCTTTGAGAGAGACTGCGGACTTAGAGGTTGTTGTTTTGAACATTAGGATTGTTATTGTTGTTATTGTTGTTGTTGTTCCTGCGAGGGGCCTGACGCGGAAAGTACATTTGCAACCTATAACAGTTTACAAGGTCATATAACGCATTGGAACAAGTTAAGTTACACGTTATCAAAGTGCATGCTCATCGATATTTCTAAAGCAATTTGTATCGATTATTTAACCACATGTTAGTCACGATATTTTCAATCAAACTGACATCCAAAGTCAAACAGAATCTGACCAACATGCAACACGCGAATGTTGTCTAGTATACAGAGATATAGCAGGCTATTTTCGTATAACTCAAGCTATTGACTGACCGAGTCCAATGCCTCGTATTATAGCAGTTGACCATAACAAAGGATATCTCGACGTCTCGTTTTATTGTCAGTGAGTTGTAACAGACATCCTGCTACGATTTGCTATTGTTGTGATGCCATTATACAAAGAATAGAAATATGATTACTTATTTCCTGACCTAAACCAACACAACTACTCTCATGAACTCCGGACTTTAAGTTCACTATTTTATAAACCGCAAGAAAACAAGTATCTCTATAATGTTTAATAGGATACAATTAAATTGTAAGGTGGAATTAATAGAAAAATTTAAAAAACATAAGTTAAATAATTGTTCACATAAAGCCAATAGAAAGCCATTGGCAATTTTTTATTTTATTTCACTCCGTCTGAAATTTTCGATTCCTATATATTAATAAAATAACATAAGATATACTGACAAAACAATTAAAGGTTACTAATATCTTAACCTATGTCTGTTTTTAATCCGCAAAATTTAGATGCAAACTGCAAAATATTGTTTCTGATATACGCCAGGTTTGACAATATGCGTACAAAATTTGTGGTGTTTTAATCAACTTCGTGCATGAATTTCTGATTTCGTTTTCCGGGAATTCACTAACTTAGCTTTTTAAAAAGAGCGACATGACATTGACTGGTAATGTTCTTATCATACTAATACTAATGTTAAACTATAAATGCGAAATTTTAGATGGATGGATGGATGGATGTTTGTTAGAGTTTGTAGTCAAAACAGCTGAACAGATTTCGATTAAATTTGGATAGATGTAGAGGATAGTCTGGAAGAACACATAGGCTACTTTTGTTTTTTCTACGCGGACGGAGACACGGGCAAAAGCTAGTAACACATAAACAGAATTGAATAAGATTGAGCTCGGGTCTATAAAAATGTAAACGTTTTGGCGCATTATGTAAAAATTTAGAAATATTACAATACCCCATGATAGATGTAACTATTTTCATAGAATTCATAACACTTCAGTGAATATTTAAGACTTTATACTCCCCCGTCGAGTGAAAATCAATATTAAATCAAGATGCGCACCATTAACATAGCGTTTTGATTTAATTTGCCTTTCTTGGACAAACAGAGCTTAGCGTAAGCTACAAAATCAATAGCATAAATGTCAGTGTTTACTTAGATCTCGTGCACAAGGTAGAATTAGAGAACTACCTTCTACAAGCAATTTGACTCTATTTTATCAAACAGACAAACTGGTAACGCGATTGGTATTAGCATAGTAATAATTCCTGATAATTCAGTCCGTCATAAGTTTGCTTGCTTCGATTAAATGTACTCGTAGTTATAATCTTTACTAATAAAATTAATGTGAAATGCACATGTTATAAGAACTTTTTTAAAACAGTAAAAAGAAACGTATTCATCACATTTTATTTATTTTCATGCGTAAAAAAATTTTTAAAAGGTATACCTCGTTCTTATGTTATATTTTACATTTTCTTTCTTATTTATTATTTATTTTCTCAGTGCTAAGTT